ATCCAAACTCATGAACCCGGGCTGCCTAAGTGAAGTACACCAAACTTAACCACCAAGCCATGGGGCCGGCCCCCAGAATGATATTTCTATAAATGCAAATCTGATCCTGTCACAGCCCCCGCCAACCTCCTAATGACATCCCACTGCTCTTGGGATAAAGATCAAAGTCCTTACCTTGGCCCATCTTTCCAATCATGAAGGGCCTGGAAGACTTAGAGAGTTTGGATTTTATTCTAACTACAAATGAGAGGTCTGTAGAGGGGCAAGAAGAGAAGCAGGAAGACCAGTCAGGAGGCTACAGCAGTAGCCCAGGCAAGAGAGGACTGAGGCTGATCATGACAGCAAGGGGAGAAGTGGTGAGAAGAGCTCAGGTTCGGGATACATTCTGACAAGACAACAGGACTTGCTGATGAATTGGATGTGGCAGGAAAGGAACAAGAAGAGCCAAAAAACACTGGGATTTTTGGTCTAAGGAACGTGGTGAAAGGTGCGACCACTAAATGAGATGGAAAGGACAGCTTTGCAAGAATGGGCAGAGGTGGAGATCAAGAGTTCTATTTGGACGTGTTAAGTGTGAGATGCTGATTAGACAGCCAAGTGGAGGTGCACAAATTGTTCAAGATCCATACAGCAAAAGCCCCTCGCAAACAGAACTCAGGTTTCTTTCAATCTGATTCAGGGCTCTTTCCTCAGTGGGTCTCAAGGCACAGCCCCCAGATTAGCAGAAGCAGCATCACTTAGGAACTTCTTAGAAGCTCAACTTCTCAGGTGCCACCTGAGACCTACTGAAACAGAAAATCTGGAAGTGGAGCCCGGCAATCTACACTTTCACGAGCCCTCCAAGTGACTCACTGAAGTTTGAGAACATTGCTCCAAGTCCTACTCCTCATCGATAACGAACACCGCATAGCCATAGTTGCCCTGCATCAGGCTTCTCTGTGCCTCCAAAAACCCTCTGCCTAACTAACAATAAAAGGTGCTGCCAACCCCCACCTCCTGCTCAGGACTCACTGGGGGCTCCAGACACACCACTGATCAAAGTTTTTCAATTCCAGTTTCAGAAACTAGAGCAAAGGGGAGAAACAAATAAAAATAGGAGCTACTGTAATCACAATTATCATTTTCCTAACAGCTAATATTACTGAGTACCTCTTAGGCACTTTCTATGTGTTATCTCCTTTATTCCTCATAACAGCCTTATAGGGAAGATACTCTGTCCCCATTTTACAGTTGGGGAGACTGAGGGACAGAGAGGTTAAGTACCTTGCCCAAGGTCACGTAACTAGAAAGTGGCAGAGCTGGGATTTGAACCCAGGCAGTCAAAACCTGCAATCTTTTTTTATTTTTTTTTGAGATATAATTGACATATAACATTGTGTATGTTTAAGGCGTACACTGTGTTGGTTTGATACATTTATTTACTGCAATGATTACCACCATAGCTTAGCTAACACCTCTATCTCACCACATAATTATTATTTCCTTTTTGTGGTGAGAACAATTAAGATCTAGTCTCTTAGCAACTTTGACATTTATAATACAGTGTTGTTGACTATAATCACCATGCTGCGCCTCAGATCTCCAGAACTTATCTACTAGTTGCAAGTTTCCAGAGCCCACATTCCCAACAACACGGCCTCCTATCTTCCCAGGCATCCACGCAAGGACCATTTGATGTATTAAGTACATGGGGCTCTTATGAATAACTGAGAGAACACAAAAAGATATTTAATTCCATCAAGTTACCATATGACCCAGCAATTCCACTCTTACACATACTCAAAATGGAAAACATATGTCCACAGAAAAACCTGCACATGAATTTCATAGAATTATTCCTAATAGCCAAAAGTGAAAACAACTCAAATGCCCATCAACTGATGGATAAACAAAATGAGATATATCCACACAATGGAATATTATTTAGCCATAAAAAGGGATGAAATACTGATACATGTTACAACACGGATGAGCCTAAAAAACATTATGCTTAATAAAAGAAGCCAGTAACAAAAGGCCTTGTCACATTATTCCATTTATATGAAATGTCCAGAATAGGCAAATCCATAGAAACAGAAAGATTAGTGGTTGCCAGGGGCTGGAGGAGGGGGGAGGGGGGTGGGGAGTGGCTACTAATGGACATGAGGTTTCCTTTTGGGGTGAAGAAAATGTTCTGAAATTAATGTTGACAGTTGCACAAAACCATCTATACTCTAGATGAATATACTAAATAGTACTGAATTGCACACTGCAAAAGGTTGAATTTTCATGGTATGTGAATTACATCTCAATAAAGCTGTTATTTTTAAAAAGATGTTTAATTCATTTTGAACTTAGGTTACTGTACTATAGAAAATTCTTATTTGTTGTCATTAAGGTTGCTGGATCATGACCAAAGAAATTGAAAGTAACCTGCCATCACTTTCAATTTGCAAAGAAGAGTAAACAAGTTTCACTTCTAGGTTGCCATGGGACCTAGACACGGTCATCTATGTCATTTCTCCACTCAGGAGAAAGTTTCTCTTCACTAAAAAGTACAAAAACAAAAGTTCTATTCTTGAGAAAATGCCCTAACATTTTCCTTGAACCAAAGCACTTTCTATCTAAAAGAACTTTAGTTTTCTCCCATAATCAGGGGCTCCTGGGGCTTCCCAGCTAAAAGCATGCAGCTGAACAATATTTCTCTTCCCCAAGAAAGGCACTAAAAACTATTAGGAATCGGGTTAACATTTTAATGCCTTAAGATAAACCGTGAACATAAAGACCTAGGACTCGGGTAAGGATCTGAGAAACATTCTTTTAAATGTTTACTTGCTCTAACAAGAACAGCAATACTAACAACTAGTATTTATTGAATTACTATAATGTGCCAAATAAACACTGTCCTAGGTTCTTTACAAATAAGATGTTTAATTTAGTCCTCACTGTAACCCTGAGGAAAGTATTTGTATTCTCATTTCACGGATAAGGAAACTGAAGCCCAGAGAGACTGAGTAAATTATTTGTCCTTGATCACACAGGTAACAGAGCCAAAATAATACCCCAAGTCTTTCTGAACACAAGTGTTCTCTCCTCTATCCCTCTATATTCCTCTTCAAAATGAAAAAGGAAGCCAGAAACTTGAAGAAACCAAAAAGATCCTCTTCCTATCTCACAAAAGTAGTGCTTTGAAAATAAGTTGACCAATCCTATAGTGCAAAAGAAGAAATAGAGAAACCAAAAACTGTTAATAACAACCAGCAGTCAGTAAGCACAAAAGACCATGCCATGTCCCACATCCCAGATACTGCTTCCTGACTTAACAGTTTTCCAACTGATTCTGATCATAACCTTAGGATGTTGAAATTTAATGATCTCACCATGGAAAACCCCAGAGAACAGCAGTTAGCGGGACAGGAGAGCTCACCAGACCAGGAAGGAAAAGGAATCAGTTGGCAGGAAGTGATGCTATCTAAAAACACAGAAGTCTTCAGCATTAATATTAACACTGTAATTCCTCAGCACTTTAATCTGAAGCTATCTCTGCATTGCCTTGAATTATTTTAATACTGTATTACTAAAAGCTGATTCCCACTCTATTCTCCACATGTCTAATAGGATCTTGAATAAAATAAGACTGCTATGTGGCCACCACTGACCCTCATTTCTCTCTTGCTATTAAAAAAAAAAAAAAGGTCACAAGTTCAAAGGATTATCCCAGAAGGATAAGACCTGAATCAATCAGGAAAGGCTGCATGTGGGGCACAACCAAACATGAATGTCATCACCAAGTAGACTGCAGCTGGCAGAAATCTTAAATTTGCTACTGAAACATACACTGATCCTTAGACTTCTCAGGACTCTGCTCAAAACAAATTGAAACTATAAACCAACAACAGTTGGATGGATGTACAGTTGCTAAGCATACATACACCAAAAAGGGGGGGGGGGGAGGTGGAGAAGTAGCTCAGAAGGTCTGCTCTCCAACTAAATAACTTAAGAATGAAAGAACTTAGCGCATTTGCACAAGAATAACACTACAACGCAGTAGGAAAGAGGCCACTTGGGGTTGAATAAATCCTTAGATAATGCTAAAGAAATAACCGCGATCCTCCGGTCACCACGTATTAACTCCTAACGGGAAAAGAGCAACTCAAGATAAAGTAAGGTCGAACTTGAGAATTTTCCTCACTTTTCCTGTGCCCCCGCAGATGGTCCCAAGCTCCCACCAGAACCTTGTGGGAGTCCAGGAGAAAGATTCGTGCGTACTGAGCTGGGGGAGCAAGGGAGGGGGTCATCCTCATGCAAACAACCACCTGTGCGTGGTGGAGACCCCCTAAGACGGAGTTCTGTTTAAAGTGAAAAGCACCTCTGGGGGTGGCCCTCCTAACCCAGGACTGACACTGACTACTCATCCAACTCCACGGTCCCTTCCCCGGGACTCTGGCCACCTCCCGGGGGAGGGCAGCCTCTCCTGAGCCCTCCGCCCCCAGAGCCCAGTCTGCTTCCACAACCAGCCATCGCTAAAGCCTGCTGCCTGCTCCTCCGCCTGACAGCTGCTCTGCCGCCACCAGGCAGCCCCAGCTCCTCCAGCCCAGGTTCCCCAAACCAGCCTTCCGGGGTCGGTGGCGCCCCAGGCCCGCAGGATTTAGGATTTAGGATCTGGAAGGGTTTGGTCCAATCCCCTCTTCCTCTGCGTCCTGGGCTCACCTCCCCGGCAGCTTGGCGCTCCTCTTCCAAAACTGCTTGCTGTTCTCGGCGGCCATTGCTCTGGCCCGGGGAAGGCCTTGTAGGCGGGCCACGGGGGTACGCGGCGAGAAGCCCCCAGGACCCCGCAATCGGAGGGCCAACCCAGGCCGCTTCCCCACAGCCGGTCACCCGCTCCCAGCTCCTGGAGGCGCCATCTTGGATGTGGGCACCCCCCAACCCATCGCCGCTGCCATTGGTGGGCTGCCCGGAGCGTGGTCGGACGGACCAATCGGGAGCCGGGATCCTGCAGGCCGCTGAAGCCGAACGGTAACGTCAGGCGCTGGGCACACAGGTGGACCAGGGAGGCGGAGCTTGGACGAGCAGGGAGGCGGGGCTGGAAGTTCCTGCTCCCCAGGAGGGGAAGACGCAGGTAAAGAAAGGGACCTAGGGGAAGGAGGAGGGGGTGCTGTTTACTTTGGGGAGAATGAGGCTCCTGAGTCTAATATTTTTTGTAAAGAGAGAGCATGTGTATTTATATACATAAATCTTTGACCTAAAAGTAAGGGCCTGTGTGTTGGTTGCAACCCGTTTTTAGCATCTCCCAACTAAGTTACACTCTGGTTATTACCCTCCCCTTCTCTGTGACGTTTGGACCCGGATTTTTTTTTTCTTTTTTTTAAATCTATGAAGGAAGATCAGTACGGATCCGATAGTCCAGGGTTGCTAACTGTTCAACACGTGAGTAACGGTTAGTTCATAAGAGTCTCCCTCTCTGCTGTTAGTTGAAGACTAAATTCGAATGATCTAATCTCTATTTCAATCAATAACTGCCGCTTTCTGACTGTGAGAACCCAGATGCTGACAGTGTTTAGGAAACGTTCTTACTTTATCCATCCAGTTCAGACTACTAAGGAACATTTCTTGCGAGAAAGTAGAATTATCTCCATGGCATGAATCGCAGAGATTAAGGATGTACTCTCAAACATCTTAATTTCCCTTATTAATCTATTATAAATCTTTCACCCTTGAATTCATTTTCAGTCTAATGTTGACTCAGAATGAGGTTCAATATTAGTATTTTGAATCCTTTGTATGTCTTGTGGGTGTTTTTTGCTCTGAGTTACTGTGGTTGTATACCACGGTAATGGGGGGGAGCGAGGGGGAGGCTGAGGGAGGCAGGGAGCACATCCAAGTCCAGAGTGCTTTTTGTCCCAACAAAGGACTGTTGAGATGGGCTAGTTGTCCGTAGTCCCCCAGCCCCCCCCGCCCCCAATCTGGCTCCCGTTTACTCTACCACATGTCCTTCCACATATTGGAGAATACATACCGACCCGGTCTAAAGAAGGACCTTCTTTTATATGCCTGTTTCTACATAGACATTACCCCCATTTTCAAGCTTCCTTTGTCCCCTGAATCACAATCATGAAATTGTATGAAAAGGTCTATCTTTACTTTCTCTGAATCTTTCATGCTTTTATAGATTTTCATCTTATCTTGTCTCAGAAGGTCACCTTTATGGGCATTTAGTCCATCAAACAAAAGGCCCTCTACCCTTTTAAATCATTTTAGCTGCCTTTCTTTGGCTCTCCTTTTTTTCAGGCTGTGGCGACCAGCACTGCGCACTGAACTCCAAGGGGGGGTTTCCTGAGGTTTTGTTGAAACTGGTGTTTTCTCTTTATTCTGGACAGCCAGAACTTTTGCTGGTATTTTGGACTTGACAAGAGCTGTGTCTTGAAAGAATAATCGACAGCGACTTCTGGATCCCTTTCCTTGGTGGCAACTGGCAGTTCAGAGTTCATTATCTTAAAGGTATCATCTGAATTGTCTCCCCCTAGGTGATCTTCCTTACACTTGTTCCTGTGGCAAGTCACCTGCCACTTTCCAGGCTACTCACACGGCTTTAGAAATGTTCCAGAAGATGCTCCCTATTGACTTGACATTTCACTATGTCGAAAGCAGAGTATAATTTGTGTATCTAGAAATGTCTCAAAGTATTATTTTTCCTTAATTGTTTATGAAATGTTAAATAACACTGATTCCCAGGGGTTGCTGGTTTCATTGTTCAACCCAGAGAAGCCCTATTATTTCTATTCTTTGTTTAGTACATCTAAGCCAATTTCCCATCTAAGAGTTAAAAAAAATCACTCAAGTCATCTGGTGATGTTTTTAAATAGTCTTTGTTAGGGAAGTTGTGATTGTTGGGCCCTTTCTCACCACCATCACCATGACTACCTGAATCTAAACCAACTGCATCCTTATAGCAGCCTCCTGCTAGGCACCGCTGCTTCCACTCCTGCCCCCTTAGAATCTATCCCCACACAGCAGCCAGAGAGAGCCTTTAAAAATGTCAGTTAGATTATGTCACTCCTCTCCTCAATACCTTGCAATGGCTCCATCACACTGGCATAAAATCCAAGCTCCTTAAAGACCTTGCGTGAGGCTGGGCCACTGGTGTGGTGGTTAAGTTGGCAGTTTCCGCTTCAGTGGTCCCGGGTTCGTCAGTTTGGATCCCGGGTGCGGACATGGCACTGCTTGGCAAGCCAGGCTGTGGTAGGCGTCCCACAGAGAAAGTAGAGGAAGATGGGCACGGATGTTAGCTCAGGGTCAGTCTTCCTCAGCAAGAAGAGGATTGGCAGCAGATGTTAGCTCAGGGCTAATCTTCCTCAAAAAAAAAAAAAAAAAAAGACCCTGCATAATTCGGTTCCACTCTCTTTCTTGCTTAATCTGCTCCAGCCACACTCACTGGCCTTTTTGTTGTTCCTTGAACACTCCAAGCATGTTCCTACCTCGGGACCTTTGTATTAGCCATTTTCTCTGCTTGGAATTCTCTTCCCCAAAATATCTGATGGCTTGCTGCCTCATTTCATCCAGGTATATTCCCAAGTGTGTTCACCTCGGGGAGCCCTCCCCTCACCACCCATCTTAAATAGCGGGCTCCACGACTCTGTTTTTCTTTAAAGCACTATCAGTAATTACCATATTATGTACTTGTTTGTCGTCCATCTCCATCCCCTAGAAGTAAAACCCACTAAGGCAGGAATTTTGTCTGTTTTGTTCTCTCCTATAACCCCAGCACCTGGAATAGCACTTGACACATAATTGGTGCTTAATATTTACTGAGAGAATGAAGAGTATGAACTATCTATCTTGTTCATACACATTTTTTGTTGGAAAAGACGATAGAAACCATGTTTTCTAACCCCTGGGAGGATGTGTCCACTTTACCAAAGTTTCTATAAGCTTGCCTGAACTCTTGGTTGAAGAATAGACTTCCCTCTTGGGAAATATTGTCCTCTCCAAACCCTTTTGCAGCTGCAGAGGAATGAACCTGTACCTAGAATGATGAGGGAGGGAGGCCACCCGCCTAGCCAGGAGATCAATCGAGTCAACCCTGTCCATCAAAGGGGTGGCAGCCGTGGCAGCCAGATCACCCTCATACCAAACTTTGACCAAAAGTTTGGCCAAAAATCATTGGTTTGAGGTTCCCAAGGGGTCCTTGGAACACTTTTAGTGGAGGTTTTTAGTGGCAGGTGCTCTGGTCCACTAAACTCGTGCTTCTCATACTTTAAAGTACATGTGAGTCACCTGGAGATCATGTTAGAAGCCTAGATTCTGATTCAGTAGGCCTGGGGTGGAGCCTACAATTCTGCGTTTCTAACAAGCTCCCAGACGACACTGATGCCACTGATCTGTAGACCTCACTTCGTAGATCTTCTGTTAATAGCACGTATGGCCTATGATCCTTGGATCTATCTCAAGGGTTTGATTATTTTGAAACTGTAAGTAGAGGACTCTCAATGTCGTCTGCCTGCAAGTTTTAACTTTCCGCTTCTTAATTTCATCTTCATTCAAAGGAGAGTAAAACAACTTAGACAGGGGCAAAGTAGAGTTAAGGGAATGAGCTATGCACGGGTTGAATGTGGTCTCAAAAGAGGTGGGCGTATCCCAATCCTTAGAGAAAGTCGTACGGAAGAGATAAGCCCTGCGTAGAAACACACAGAAAAAGAAAGAGAAAAGGCCTGAAGAACGGTAGGGAAGTCATTTCAGAGCAGGAGCTCCATGGGGAATATAAAAATTGAGAAAAAAGCCTTTGGACTTAGTTACAAAGACATCACTGGCATACTTTAACCTCAGCAAAGGAGTGGAGTGAACCCTGCGATGAGAGGAAAGGTTAAGAAATGAGAGCAAGAAACAGCCCTCGCAATGCCCTGCAGAATGTTGGACAACCAAAGGAATGGTCAGGTCCAGCTGGGATCTAAGAACATGAGAGCTTTCTTCGTCCCTAAGTAACCGCTAGACAGAGCCAAATGATAGAAATCAGTTATATTAGGGAAGGTAAAGTGATCAGCAGAAAGACTGAAGAAGCAAGAGGTTATTGGAGTAAAGAGAGGAAGAGAGAGTGGTTAGAGTTTGGGGCATGGAGGGAAGATCAAGACAGAATCTTTCCTAGGAATTTATTCTAAGGAAATAAGCCAAAAGGGGGGGGTGGGAACTCTGTGTACAAAGATGTTCTTTGCTGTGTAGCCAATAATAAATAGGGGGAAAATGAAAAGAATATAAAAGTTTAAACATGAGGAGGTAGTTACACAAATTATGGTGTGTGGTTTGTAATCTTGAACCATGCTGTGCTATTAAAATGTGCAAACTTGCTACATACCACATTGTAAAGGTTTATGAAACGATATACAATGAGGAAAAAGCTGAATGCAAAATGTCTTTGCCTGATTTCAATAAAAATGTATGGGTTTTGTCAAAGACTGGAAGAAAGCATGGAAAAATTAAGCAAATTTTGTTAGATGATAGAATTATACATCTTTTTATCTCTGGAATTTTTCTTTAATGCTACAATTTTTAAAATTATTATAGAATATGTGTCACACAATAAACCAAGGGCGGGCAAACTTTTTCTGTAAAGGGCCCAATTATAAATATTTTTGGCTTTGCAGGCCGTTAGAATTACTCAACTCTGCTGTTGTAACAGGAAAACAACCACAGACAATATGAAAATACACTAGCATGGTTGTATTCCAATAAAACTTTATTTGTGGACACGAAATTTTGAATTTTATGTAATTTTCACATCACAAGATACTCTTCTTTCAAATTTTTTTCAACAATTAAAAAATGTGAAAACCATTCTTAGCTCACAGGCCATACACAAACAGCACGCCAGATTTGGCTCATGGGTGGTAGTTTGCCAACTCCTAAAGAATAAAGAATAAATAACATGTAAAAACAAAGTTAAGAAACAAAAAAATCCTACGATGCAATTAAAGTCCCCTTTTGACCCTCCTTGATCCCGTTTCCCTCCTTCTCTCCAGTGGAAACCACGATCCTGAGTTATGTGTTCAGCATTCTCAGGCATGTTGTAGACTTTTACTACATATGTGCATATCCATAAACAACATGTTTTCCATGTTTTGAAACTTTATAAATAGCATCCCATTGTACATATGCTTCAGCAACTGGCCCTTTTCATTCAGCATTCTGTTGATACATGGAGCTCTAGTTTATTCATCTTAACTGTGATACAGTGTTCCACAATGTAAATACTCCTTAATTGTCTTCTCCAATTATTTTTGTTTTGAGCAGCGCTCAGTTAATGTTCTTTTACACATTACCTTGTGCAAAATTTTCTCTAGTGCAGTCTTTTTCAAATTACAATTGGTCAACTATTAGTGGGTTGAAATAAATTTAAAGGTTGGGACCTTTCATGAAATACAGTAGACAGGAACATTTACCCCTTAAAGGTATACAGTGTTAAATGTCAATTATATCTCAATTAAAAGAAAGAATAGATGGAAATAGAAAAGATCAGAGTGTTTTGCATGTAATATGGATAGGCATTGTTTTGCAAAATTTTTGTTTCAACTTTATACACGCATACATATATGTGTATGTTTGTGTGTGTATGTGTATACTTATTGTAATGTAAAATATACTTCTCAATGAGAGGTTGTTGTCGGAAAGTTTGAAAACCACTGCTTTAAGGTACCTGGGAATACCTAGGAAAGGCGTTGCTAGATCACAGAATATACATAAATTCTACCTTACGAGATACTGCCAAGTCCTCTCCAAAATGACTTTTCCAGTTTATATTCACCTCAGAGCAGTAAGTGAGGGTTTCCATTGCTCCACATCCTCACCTATGGTAGGTTTTTCTCATGGGCTGTTAAATATACATACACAAAAAAGAATGTATAAAACTAATATGTATAGTTCAGTGAATAATAACATTTGCACTCACGTGCCCATTCCCCACACTATGCAATAGGACATCATCAGTACCTTAGAAGCCTCTTGGAGGGTCCCTTCCTAAGGGTATTCCCCTTTCTCCCCACTTCAGGTATAACCACTGTCCAGAATTTTGTATTAATCATCTTCCTATTTTTCTTTATACTTTTCCACCTATGTTTGTAACCTTAAATAATGTATTGTTTATATTAATGATATTGTATTGTATCTATTCTTCTGTTGCTTGCTTCTTTTGGAAAACAGTATGATTTTGAGATTTACCCATGTGGATGACTGTAGCTATAGTTCACTCATTTTCACTGCTGTATAATATTCCATTTTGTAAATGGCTCAGTTTATCTATACCACTACTAATGAGCATTTGGTTGGTTAACATTTTGTGCAACTGTCAACTCTGCTGCTTTGAACGTTCTTATCTATGTCTCCTGGATAAGTGGACAAGTGAAGGGTTTCTCTAGGATGTCAACATAAAAGTGGAAGTGCTGGTCTGGAATGTATACATTTGTTCAACTCTGCAAAATAGTGCCCAGTTGTTTTTCAAAGTGGTTGTACTA